CACATAGATTGTCTGGGGCTAGTGCCTGTTGAACCAGTACTTGTTGAAACAGTACTTTTATCGAATCACATGAACTATCCTCTCCTCGTTACGTAATACATATATTTGATGTCCCCCGTAAAGCAGACATCTGATAGTTGACTCTGTCACCTTGATTGCTTCGCGATGGCTCTCGTCGACTTTTGGGATCATGTGTAATAGTAGCCAACATATGCTGGATAAACTTAGCCGTCATTACAATGTCTGACTACTTAGAATTTCTTTCTCCTGGCGGAAGATTACACGTCATTACCAGAATCCCAGTTCGTTTCTTAACAAAGTTAATGGCTTCTCTCCAATGTAGCTAATGGCGCATGCTACGAGCGTGGATTGCGTTTTAATAATTTTTGTGTGTTTGTTTGTAATATACTAAGTTAATGCTTTTGATATGTTTGAAAATGTTAAAATTTGACGCATGCTGCGTAACATTACGTTAGATTGTATTCTGTCTATGGCTCGCTGAAGGTGATTTCTGAAATGTCTAGTGTACTTTATATACAATTTTCTGTTTATATCTGTTGAAATCTGTCTTTGTCGCGAGAAGGCCATATTCATACGACAAATGTACACATTACCAGGGATTTACGAGACTAGCACTTAACGAGATTTTACGAGACTAGCATTCTCGCTGTTGGTCTACCTGATGTTCGTCTTTCTGTCTGTGCATAAGGAATATGATTATTAATAAGGCATAAAAAAAACATAGACACAGATTGGGTAGTTGCTTTAATGACGTAACAGCAAATGCGGTAAAGAAAAGGAGATTTTGTAAAATAATATCCAGATAGCAGATCATTAAGTAGGTTGAGATATACAAAAGGTACGTTGGAACGTTTTTTCTTGTCTTCGTTCACTTGAATATCTTTCTAATATCAACACACATACATACATACACACACACATACATACATACACACACATATATTTACTTAAACGTTATTTTTAGTGGATACCCATACCAGAGGGTCCATTTATTTATTAAACAGTATATTCATTTTCTACCAGCTTGAATATTCGAGAATTTTTTATTAAAGAGAAATATGCGTGTTCTCTTGTAGGTCTCGAACCTGCGTCCCCCTTGGCAGGAAAAACCGTCGTTAGATCCGACATTCTTTTCAGACCATCTCGGCCTCTGAGTATCTCGACGATCAAGTCAGTCAGTTATGTGCTATGCGTGATACACGATCATGTATTCTCTGATACATGACTGACGAGGCAGATTTTTTTGTAATGGAATTGTCTGGAATTTCGAACCCGGCTCTCTGATTCCTCAATCCGAGCCGCTATTCATTACTCCACCGTGTCTCTCGAACTCAGTTATGTGCTATGGGTGATACACGCGTAGGCAATCATGTATCTTTTGATACATGACTGACGAGGCAGATTTTTTCCCGCAGTAGGTTGCTATTTCTTTCTGCAGTAGACCAGTTGTCATCCAAAGCTATAGAACTCGGTCTGTCCTGCTATTTACCCATAACTGTGGGGAGAAGAAGACGATTCATACCTTTCCTAAGGGTATTAGCACGTAAGTGAATGTAATGGATTCGACTGGAATTCGAACTCGGCTCTCCGATTCCTCAATCCGAGCCACTATCCATTGTGGAAATAATGCTTTATAAACAAAAATCTTTCTCCGACTCTCGAAACATTCATATCTACTAGGTTTCGCATCTGATATAATCGAATATGCATACATCTGTGTTCCCTCTCACTGGAATATGATTGGCTGGTGTCCGTCATAAATACCGACGGACGTGTAGGAGAGTCAGAGAGCCTTAGTCTGAGAGCTAAGTCTATAACGACGCCCATTGGACTACGCCATTGATCTACACTTCTTACCTGCGACTACGACGCGTACCAGTCGATTACTGCTACCGTATTCTACTTGGTTATAGTAGCCAAAACCACTTAGCTACTTCGTTTAAATATATCCCTTTCCGGGACATATCAGTATCCTAACGGTTTCTCCTGCCAAGGGGAACGCAGGTTCAAATCCCGCTAGAGAGCGCATATTTTCCTTTAATAAGATATATTCAGACCGATAGTCGAAAATAAATAAATATACTGTTCAATAAATAAACATTTCTAATTCTTCTTTGGATTTTATCAAGAATCTCTAAATATATAGCAGGAGCACCAGATCATATATGACAGCAATTATTCTAAGCACGGTCGAACGGTAGACTTATGGATATGTAAGATAGATTCTGAAGAGAATAATTGACTGGCACAACACAGTGAACCATCTTTCTTAGCAGCTGACATAGCAATGGATTTAATATAGTCTTTCCATTTCATGTCAGCCGGAACTGTTAACCAGAGAAGGCGCAACTAGTCACTCTCCTGGGGGTTAGCTTCAACCATTAGGTACTGACCAGGCTCGATATTACTACAATACAAAGTCACTATCTAATAAAACTATTTAAACAGTCACTCATCTAAGTAGTGAGTTTATTCAAATTTAACTTTCGTGATTAGACGAGGAACGGCATTTTCTTCGTAAATTGACTATAGTTTAGTGCAAGACCATAAGTCTCTGGTATCTAATGGGGATTGAAGCCACTACTTTAGTATTGATCTGGGATATTACAATAATAAATAAATGATCTGTGATATTAACTTGATAATAACTGCGCCAGAGCGGGGTACCGCAAGTGGATTAAATTTTTTTTGTTTTTGGTTGCAAGCAATATTCACTAGAATGACGGCAATTTTAAGCGAACACAAATCAGCTCGGGTTTGAGGAGTGATGATTTTAATGCTCCTGCCGACAATAATTGAAATACCGCAGTCAAAGGACAAAAAGGATAACTTTAAAATATATGTAAGATGAAAACATTAGTAAAATCTTTTTTCCTCCATTGTAATAATAATAATAACAATGTACAGCCCACCCCTTACAAAGGGCTTTGTCTATGTAAAATATGTTTTGTTTTTGTTTTTTTGGTTTTTTTGTCAGTGGAAAATGTCATGATGCCATCTCTAACCTGAGGTCCTTGGGCGGGATCCGAAAAGAATGTGTACACACCAGAAATCAAAGAAAATAAAATAATAATAATCTTATTCTGCCTGTCCCTTCCTTTGTTAGTACGACCGTTACTTCCTGAAAATACCTAATAGATAATGGACTATTCCGTTTTGATCGCTTAGTTTGGTTTATTTTGTTTTACGGCATATCAAGCTTATTTAATGCCGACAACATTTTTTATTGCTGGTAATATTTTGTTTTGTCAAAAATCTGTTTCTGATAATATTTTTCCTTCAAAATTGTATTGCTGGTAATAGTTAACTATTTGCCCATCGCTTGGACCCTAACAGGTGCTACTACCATGGGTTAGGGTGGACCTGGGAACACCAGAAATTATGAGGTGGTTCCACGCTCCTCAAAACCTACTGATCAGAGGCCTTGCTGCTGGATGTAGTTTATCGTCTCACCCAGGACGCGGATGTAGTTTGACGTCTTACCCAGGACGAGTTGATCGCTTAGAAAGACGGAAAGCCACATCAGAAACGTTATTTGGTTTCAATGATTATCAACTTTTTTTAGCCAAATATTAATTTTGTTACACACACATTTTTTGAATGGATTTTTCCCGACATTATTTCTTATTACTATAAACATTATTTTTAGTGGGTAGACATGTTTGTGTTACTCTCTGTTTTTTTTTTTTTTTATTATTATTATTATTTTCTTAAACAGTGAAATTAATAACATTCGGTCTAAAGCTTCTTTAGTAGAACTGTTTAATCTTTAGTAGAATTTTCCATTATATATATATATTATTTTATATCCAGTTTGTCACACTATCTAAGCTCGTTAATCTATATAATGTTAATGTCAGTGTATCACCGTGTTACGCTTTTTCAATTAAAGGGACACAACTCTTTAACTTTCAACAGCTCATGTTACAGAAATTTTAGATTTCCAAGTTTTCATTACTGCAATTGTTTTCGTAGATTTAAAAAATCTACGTGATTTTTTTTGCGACGAATTTTTTGTACGATAACAACTTTTATAAGTTGGAAATAAATTTGGGAATAATCAAAATTAAATTCCGAAATCCAACGAAAGTCACCCATGAAATAAAGATAATTGTTTGTACGGAAAGTAAGGAACAACGTACATCAAATTATCTTTAAATTACGTGGCAGCAGAAGAATTATCGTTGAACTTTTAAAAGGTAAGCTTAAATATTAATGCAATACTTAATTGCAGCGAACAATTAATTGAGTTCTTCTGTAGTTTATTGTTGTCTATTGCATACGGCAGCGGTATGCCTCGCAAAAAGAAATCTCCGCCAACAGAGGACCAGATTGCAATCAAAAGAGCCAAGGCTGCAGCGAGGAAAAGAAAGTCCCGTGCAAATAAATACCCAGAATAAACGGCAGCTAGGAGAGCTCCCAATGCTGATGAATATGCAAAGACTTAGGGACTCTCAAACTCCTGAAGAAGTCAAAGGCCCAATCAAGAGCCCTCCTCAGGAACTAGCTTAAATTCCGCCAAATAGGCTAGTTGTCTGACTATATAATAGGTATGAATTCGGTGAGCAGCACAATTTTTGCATCTCCGTTGCCCTCACTTCCTTTGCTGACTTCTGAACTTTGAATATTTGTTTAGTCGCCGACCAATGATATTTTCCGATTATGGAATGATAATGAGGAGAACACAGGTTCACGTGCTCCATGAAGTATTTATCAGCTACCCTATGCCGTTCCAAATGCTGTAAAGAAATATCCATGCACTGGAAGTTGCGTCACTTTAGTCAGTTGCTTCGAGACCTTAAGATTGATACTTGCCCTTGGTCTACAAAAATCTTATTAAACATCGTACCTTTATGCTTCATTATTATTATGTTAACAGTTGATGATTTTTGTTGTGACGTCACATACGCATGCGCGCAATATTACGAATGTTCTGACTTTTAGAAAAAGTATTGCATACTCTCCGTTGATTTTGCTTACTACCATATCATGTTGATAACACCGGTTCCCGTACGATGACCGAAGTTAAGCAACGTCGAGATTTATTAATATTTAGCTGGTTGACCGTTTGCGAATACCAGGTGCTTTAAGCTTGGATGTGCGGTTGGTGTAATTGTTAACGGATTGGTTTGGTTTGGTTTGGTTTGTTTTACGGCATATCAACCTCAATGGGTTATTTAATGCTGACAAAATTTTCATTCTTGGTAATATTTTTTTTCCCAAAATCTATTTCTGGTACTATTTTTTTCTTCAAAAATCTCTTCCTGGCAAGAATTTTCTTTCGCTGCTAATTTTTTTTTTTTTTTTTTTTTTCAAAATGTATTCTTGGTAATATTTGTTTTTCAAAAATGTATTGCTAGTAATATTTTTTTACAAAGCATTTCTGGTATTAAAACTTATTTTTACACTTTCATATAGTTTTCACCCGAGTTTAGGGGTTAACTATTTGCCCATAGCTGGGACCCTAACAGATGCTACCATCTCGGGTCAGGGTGAACCAGGGAACACCAGCAATTAAGAGGTCGTTCCACGCTCCTCAAAACCTCCTGATCAGAGGTCTTGCTGTTGGACGTAGTTTATCGTCTTACCCAGGACGCGGATGTAGTTTATCATCATACCCAGGACGGATAACGGCTCGGAATTGAAAATCAGTTGGGTTCGTTATAGTCACTTATGCGCTAATACTCTTGGAAAAGGTATAAATTCACCCTTTCTCGCCCCCACCAGCTATGGGTTAATTAATAGGATTTGTATCAATAAATAAATTATTATCTCCCAAAAATTCTTACAATAATATTTTCTGGATTTAAATTATCTGTAAAGGGCTGATAAGTCGTAAAAAAACTTGTGCAATGTTTCACAATCGATTTATGCCCATTTATACGTAGGCACGGTAGAGTAATCGATTGCGGCTCGGATTGATGATTCGGAGAGACGAGTTCGAATTCCAGTCGTGTTTATTACATTCACTTATCTGCTAATACCGTAGGAAGGGTATGAATCCAACTTTTCTTCCTTCTGGGTAAATAGTAATATAGACTGGGTTCTATAGTTTTGGGTGGCAACCAGTCTAGGAGAAAGAAAACTTTAAATTCAAAACTGTATGTAACCCTGGCAAAGTACGTACTATGCGGTCTAAAAAAAAAGAATCGTTCGCATTGACTCGATGATCCCGACTACAGTCGATGTTGGACACTTCGACATTGTCTAGACAAAACTTATCAAGCGAACTAGATCAATTACGACATTGAGTAGTGACTTCGATCCTCATTGGGTGCTTCTTGTGCTATATCTAATCTACGTTTATTAAATCGCTATGCCTATTTATACGTTGTTGTTTTTTTTCTGATAATCCCCAGTGTATAATGTTAGAGATACTACGCTGAGTCTAATGGTTTGCGATCTCATACAGGAAACCATGACTACTGCATAGCTAATACTATTACTACTAAAAGTCCTACGTTTTTGGCTTTGTCGAAACCCAAAATGGGCTTTGTATATAAAGTATAGTTTTTTTTAACGTGTTTATATTGAGATTTGATATGTTTAAATATGACTCAAAAGCTCGCACCTTTCATCTGTCTATCTGCCTGTTTTATATCTCTTATCAGGATTACAACAAGGAAATATTTCAATTCAAATGACGCAGGTGATGCGTGCAATTTTAGCATTGTTATTTATGTTTGTTTGTATTTATTGCGTCAACGCTGACACTGGTGGCTTTGGTGAGATAAAACACCCATCGGCGTGATTTATTCTTGTTAAATTAACAGCCGTGGCGTCATAGATTTGCTAGTCATGATAAGGGAGCCGAATAAAAGGTTGATTTTGAGAGAGAGAGAGAGAGAGAGAGAGAGAGAGAGAGAGAGACTACCAAGTGTAGCTTAGTTTTTAGACACAGGGCTACAAGTATGGAATACTCAGGGATCGAACACACTATGAATAATCTCCAAATCTAGCTTGCTAACTATTACTACAATCTTCTTTTATGTGCCGTGTCGCTTCAGAATGTAGGCGATCATGGCCCTCCACATCTTTCCGTCTCTTGTAGCTCTTAATAAGTTTTGTCTTTTTGTTATTTCTTCCAAACGCTGTCGTACCATCCATTTGCTCAATCCCATCAAGTATGTTACGCGCTGCTTTCCTCTGTCAATTTTTCCCTCAATCTGTCCTGTGAGTATCAAGTTCTCCAAGCCCTCCTTCCTCACTACGTTCCCCAGAAATTTCAACTGCCTCTTCCTGATGTTAAGTATAAGTTTCCTTTTTTGTTTTCATTTTCTCTAAAACCTAGTCGTTGCTCATATGTTCGGCCCATGGTATCCTCAGCATCCTTCTGTAGAACCACATTTCTATTGCTTCAAGTCTCTTCATCTTTGAAGATTGTCCAGCATTCGATGCCATAAAGGAGGACATGTATCACGTAACACGTCAGTACTCTTTTCTTTGTTTGTGTTGGCGTTAAAAAAAGCTTTGTGTTGCATTTTGCCTTCATAGAATGGCTAGTAAATAATCTTGTATGACATACAAGTGCCGATACGATTGAAGTCTTTCCATTAATTTCACTCTCCACCCTATCTTCTTCTTTATGTGCCATGTCCTCTCATGACGTAAAAGATCATGGCTTTCCACAATTCCCTGTCCCGTGTAGCTCTTAATAAACTTTGTCTTTCTGTTATTTTTCCTATCACGGTGCTTATTTGATACGGCAAGCCTATTATTTCAAAAAAATATTTTCCGGCACTCATATCCGAACTGACACGTTTATAAAACATATTAAAATACTTCCTGATAGAATGTTTATTTGGACTGGCACACTTATTTTATAACTTTTAAAAATGTCCACCGTCACGGTTTTTCCAGACGACATTTCTATTCGGTTCGAATGAGTACCGTGTAGAAAACTAAGACGTTGCCAGACTGCAACAATTCAAATGTTGATGACGTATTTACGATAAAGATGGCGGAAAAAATGAAGTCAGTCCGAGAACGAGAGAAAATTAAACAATAAAAAATCATTATTATTATTACAAGGTAACAAAAAAGACCTTGCCGTATTTATTTATTAGAAGAAAAAAAAGATATACAGCAAATTTGACATAGCGTTAGTCTTCAAAATAATCCCCATCGACATTCAGCACCTTTTGCCAACGTGCCTTCAACTGCGCAATGCCTTGTTGGTAAAAGTCAGCTGTCTTGGACGCAAAGAAATCTGTGAGAGCCTGGCGCAAATCTGCTTCATTTGCGAAGGATTTTTCCACGAAAGAAGAGGCGGTAATCTGTTGGGGCAAGGTCTAGGGAGTAAGATGGATGGTGCAGTGGCTCCCAGCCAAATCGCCGTGTGGTAATCCTAGCCACCCGCGCCACATGAGGTCGGGCATTGCCATGGAGGAACAGTACACTCTTGTGATTAACCAATACTGGTTCCTTCTGCTTCAGGGTCTGTTGCGCACATTTCAGCCGCTGCAGTGATGGTTTGGTCCGTTGATAGCAGCTCGTAATGCACCACTTATCGATTAGTCCACCACATACATGATCTTACGTGGCGTGAGGTACAGGGTCCTGTGATTACAACCAATGTTCGGCACGCTTGGAAGTATCATACGGGACATGCTTTTCATCTTTGGTGAGCACTCGATCAAATATGGCGACGTTACAGTGCCGAGAAAGAAACGAGAAACAGGCTGTCACTCGTTTCTTGTTGGTTTCCGACAGTATGTGTGGTACCCACTTGCTCAACTTGTACTCATTTTCTATACGGTCAAACTGTTCCATCAGAAACTTAGAGGCGTTTGATCTTTGTTCTCCTCTGTAGCCGTCTTCAAGACCTCATTATCCAGAAGCTGAGGCCAGTAACTGCGGTGTTCATCACAAAAGAAAGGACTCTCGACCTGAATCAATGACTGGCAGTTCGTTCATTCACAGCATTATCCTCGAAAATAACGTATACAGCGACTTGATGCAGCTGCTGACAAGTCATAAAGCAGACAGCATCAAATGAGCTGCTTCGATATCACCATGTTTCCTCGTCGCTGCTCTAGCTATGACTGATGTGTGTCCACAGCGTACCGGTATTGGTCAAGAGCAACCCCCATCATCTCACTGCTTTGTCGTAACGTGACGCACTCATTTGCTCATTTTGAGTGTCGGTGATCACGTCTTCCTATACGACGTAAAAACGGCAAGGACTTGTCGGAGTTAACTCCTTAATTGTCCAAATTGTTCACTAGGGGGCACTCTCCCTACACTATAAATACTGGGCGATTTCTTGCCTCGTTCTCTTTTTCATTTCTTCATTTTCAGCGAACACATCTACAATGTAAGCTCTCGCAGAAGATTGCGTCTTCCCATTTGTGGGAGACGCCATGAACATTATACACACATACACGTACGTACGAACATTCACCAAAATATATACTCTTTATGCTCACACACAAATGTTAATGTCTATGCCCATTGTAAATTTTGTTGTTTAATACATATATTTGTTTGTATATATATATATATATATATATATATATATATATATATATATATATATATATATATCGGTCTTGTTGGTTTTCTTTACACTTCTTTATGGTGGAGTCAATCTCTAAGTCTGCCATGTTCTTGTGGTGGACCTTCTAGCAGGAATAAACGCACGTGTTCCTAATTTAACAACACGTAAACATACGGTCCGCTACAGACTTTATTGGTTGTTACTATATTATTATTATTATTATTATTATTGTGTGTGGTATCATCTTGCCAGAGAGTACTTTTAAGACCCTTCGGATTTATGAGTAAAGAGGTCACTGTAGGAGAGTTATGGATACCCATTTGGGTCGTTTCAATTAGATGGAGACGGTTTTGCGGATAACATGTGCTATTCCGCACAAAGGAATCATATGCTTAGGTTTCCAGGAATTTTACACACATGATTTTCCATACTCTTTTTTACCATACCCACATTTTTGATACTTCGATTTGCAGGTCATTACAATTTAACAGTTTTTGAAAATTCTATTTTTAAAACACCGGAATGTTGTAGGCAAGTCATATCAGTTAGTTGGCAGTTTCCTTTTTGAAATCTTTCATGACTATGTC